AGTACTCTTCTTGACTCTGCCCCAATCGGCAACTCCGTTTGTGCTCGACTAGGCGGCTACCAATGCCTCTTTTCGTTTGACCGAAATATTTCACCACCATTACATGGAATCCAGTGAATTCCCGCTGATTTGAGTGGGTCTCTGCTGTCTTTTGCTAATCTCAGATCTTCTGATATTTTCTTCGTTGGTTTGAAAACGGTGTTAATTGTCTCCCTCTTTAGATAATTCCCGATTCTTCTTCTTTATGTATGGCAGATAGACAGTGCCTTAGGGGCGATCTTCATTGGTGTTTCTCTTCTTTTCCCTTGGACCCGTAGTAGTATAGGAGCTAGCAACGTTTTCGAGAAAGAATTTCAGAACAGTTGGTTTTTTGATATGCCGTCTTTCTCGCTCTTTCGGTTAGAGTCCGGGCTACCTGGCTGGCGGTAGTGATTGTCTTTATTAATGCGCATCTTACCTGCACAGGTAAAAATCCTTAACCTCAAAAGAATTTTTAAAGAGTAATTTTTAATTTTTTGCCTTTAGATAGATCCACCAGACATCAATTTTTTATTGCCAGCCATTTTTATTGTTGTTAATTATGTGCCCAACGCTATTTTTTATTTTTTTATAATTCAAAGTATTTTTGATATACTTTGCCATTAAATACACCAGCAAATGTTAGTGAAACTATTGCGGGAAACATAAACAGTGAAATCGTAAGTGAGGTTAGTGCTTCGAGTTTATTCCGATGATAAATATGATTTTGTCTGGTTTGTTGTGGAATTGGCCGCGGTGGTAGTGCGCCCGACTCACGATCGGCAGGCCGTGGGTTCGATTCCCGCTTCGACCAGATATTTTCCATAGTTGCAGATGTTATTATTCAAAGTAAGTATTGAATAGAACATTATTCAATAAACACTGAATTATTATATAACGAACAAAAACAATTACAGAAATTTCAATTTTATTTTTACAGATGACGAAATATTGGAAGACAATGACAATTCCCAAGACGACGATATAAATAATTCTGACAGTGAGAGGGAAGATGATGATGATGATTATGAAGATGCCTCCTTTTTTTGTGACACTATTATAGACTGAATATATTTCAATTTAAAAAAAATCTGAAACTTTGCATTATATATTTGTAATTCACGTGTAATAATCAGTGCTTTTTTAATTAAAAAATGTAATTTTTGAACCTTCCTTGATATAGTTTTTATTCCATTCTTTTTTATTTATGCTAATTTCAATTATATTTTCATTTTTATGTTAAAATTTTTTCATTTCAACTTGTATTTACAAGAACAAGTGTGAGTAATGTATTTTTGCAATTATTTTCTGTTTCATTCTTAAAATTTTCTGTTATACACTAGCCGATACGCTGCCGTCACTTTCTATCTCTCTTGCACTTCAAACTGTCTCTCTCTCTAACCACTAGCATTATACCGCAATACTTTTCATTACTTTTTTGTTTATATTTAATACTCAACAATCGAATTAAGGTCTGGCAAATAAGTTTTAGATTATTTTATGTTTGAAGAAGATAATATAAAAATTATAGACATTCAAAAATACTTAAGATTCTTTTAAAGTTAACCGAAAGAGCAAGAAAGTCAGCATATCAAATAACCAACTGTTCTAAAATTCTTGTTTTCCAAAAGTTGCTAGCTCCCGTACTATAGCGCCGATATCTCTTTTTTGCTTGAGCCATTCGCGTGTAACCTAACAATTGTGTGTCTCTGTCAATATCATAAAACCAAAGAATACTACTTACGACTGAGCCACAGAATATGATAAACGGAATGAATACCTAACTAATGATACTAGGTGGCAGCACCACTCACATAACAAACATAAAATATATATTTACTCATATTTTTAACAGATGCATCTTTCTTTACTTAGTATCTTATCCTCTGAATAATATGCCTTATATTGTTACCCTAATTAGCTGAGCAATTTGTAGCGGAATTGAGCTGGCATATATTCACGATGATTCTTTCATATTCAATTTTGGGATGAGTGCTTGAAGATATATTGACAACAATCAACAGTAATAAAAATCTCAGATGGGGATGAAACTGATTTTTACATCTTAGAAGAACATGTCATCACGTAGTTAGATTACAATGAAATACTTGGACTTGATATCGTTTTAAATGTATCTTGATTCTTTTGTGTGTTTTTTTTGTATCCATGAAACATTAAATACTTATTATTACTAAGTATTTCATTGTAATCTGACTCCATGATAACATGTTCCTCTGAGATGTAAAAATCAGTTTCATCCTCATCCGAGCTTATCATTATTGTTGATAAAAGGTTGTTGACTATATATCTACAAGCACTGTTCGCCATATTTTGCAAAATTAAATATGAAAGAATCACCGTGAATTAATGCTAGCTCAATTCCGCTACAAATTGCTCAGCTAATTAGGGTAACAATATAAGGAAATTCCGCTCTTATGATTAGGTATATTGCGAATGATACTAATCGCGATTTGCCGTGTAAACAAAACTAACCTAAACCCATGAGATCTTTGTCAAGGATCTTTCAAAGGTCGAGTACGTATTGCTAGAAGAGTACAGTTACTCACATAGCCGCGAGTGATATAAAGGAACTTGTTACACTAATTTACACTAGTTTCGAGAATGACTAGACTCATATCCAGACGGACTGTCGGTCGGTAGACCAGCCACTGTGAAAACTGCTGATCATTGTTTATGCATTGTTCTATTGTTTTTAATGGGACACATGTGAATTAGTTGTAGTTGAACTACTGTTCTATTGATACAGTAACATGGTTATTAATGGTCTATATGAATCGAAATGAATGACGTGACGAATACAGTACTCATATTATGAATAGTTCATGATAGATAGATGGCTTGCGAGTCTATTCCACTGTTACAGAATACGATACTCACGAAAAAGTAGAAAATTATCTGTATTCAGAAAACCTAGCCCAAGTGATTTTTTCCATCCAGACAGTCATAAATTAGCGACCTACAATTTGATGTTGCAACAATCTAGCTAGGGAAATTAAAATATTTATACAGATAGACACAATCCAGAAGATAATCAGAAAACGAAGCGGTGAATTAACTTACAGATTAATATACCCCCAGATCAAACAATCAGAAATCAAGAAATGGGTAACTCTAATATATTTTGGTGAAAGACATGGACACATTATTCAATACTGAAATCATTGATAAATATCCACCATCATATGGACATTTCCAAATATAATAAGCTACAAGCTTTATTAAAGCGAAAGTCCGTAGGATATGTTGGAAAAAATAAAAAATATTTTCACCTGAAGAAATGAAAACGTTTATCGACGAAGCACCCGATGAAAAGTGTTTATTTATAAAAGTATCTACTTAACATTGCATTTTTTCAAAATTTGTCATGAAACAATGATTTTTAGAATAATGGGAGCATCTCGAAGACACGACCTACCTGACTTAAAATGTAAAAATGTCAAAGATTTGAATTGAATGTTAATGTGGGAGACAGTAAAAGAAAAGAACAACGACCATTTACAATTACCATCAAATACTGTTAATTATTTTAATGGAAAATTCACCATTCAAAACATTGGTATTGATAAATTTGGTAATTTAGGGAAGCAAATAGCGACATATTTGAATCTGCCTGATCCGAATTTATCTACAGGACATTGTTTTTGTATGCCGGTGGTAATATTACTACATTAAAACGTCATGGTGGCTGGAAATCCAATTCAGTGGCCGAAGGCTATATTGAAAATTCGGTTCAGAATAAAATCAGCATTCCCAGTACAATATAGTACTCTTTAAAGACTAGTTCGATACTTGAATAAACTTTTCAAACTGCACAATAAATAATCTTAATATTCTTAAGGATTAATTACAATTATTATGTACGTTATAAATATGATTAGAGTGTTTATAGTTTCCCTATATCCATGGTAATACCCGAGGTAATGCCATTAATTACAATTTTGTAGAATTTTTGAAAGAAATACGAGTACCTAATTACTGTTATTGTGTTCCATACAAATATAAATATTATATTTATAGTTCTTTATTTATCGGGTGTCTAAAAATACCGTATGCAACTCTCATGTAATGGTTATTAATACAGTCGTATAAACAATACGAAACTTGCTTTCTTTTTTTAAGGACAAAACACAAGCACTACAGGAAAATCCTTAAGGTGCCCTTCGGCTCGTTTCGTATCCCGATTAATGCTCGTGTATTAATAACAATTATTACATGGTCGTTGCATAATATACGTGTGTCCAAGATAAGAATGAACAGCATGGGAATATCGGAAACGGTAAGTGATACGGGGTCGATTGAATATGCCATTTAGAAAGTTTTAATATTCCGAAGTCCTAAACTGAAGTATACCCTATATACGACTCCATTTTTCATTGTGAATACAGCAACACAATATGATTTCATAACCATTTCCCGCGCAAAAAGAAAAGTGATTACTTAACCTGCTTTTCTTCAATTTTAGATAGTTCGCGCTGGATAAAATGACACATAATGTACTATGTAATAATACTGTTGTTTGGTAGAATTTTTGACATATTACCGTTCCTACTTTTACATCTTGCCCATATAAAAATATAATATTGATGATGTTTTCTGAAAGACGAAACGACGCAAAAACATTTTGATTACGTTATCGTGTAGTCGTTGAAAAGTGGTCATAGCAAAGTGCTACATTTCCTTTGAAAATAAAGCTAGGAGAACATTAAAACGAAATTTTCAAATTTCGGTTTTTCTCGAATATCTCCGAAACTACTTGGAATATCAAAACTTTCTAAATTGCATGTTATTAGGCACATAAATGCGCTAGTTTTCTCTAATTCAATCGACCCCGTATCACTTACCGTTTTCGATATCCCTATGCTATTCATTTTTATCTTGGACTCAGTGTATACTATTATCAAACCAACTCCTGACAAATATTCGAAATTGTCTTTTCATGATTTCATTGGAAGATGACTCACCTGTATACAAATGGTCCGATCTCTTGCAATTTTGGTTTCTCCCCAACAGCCAGGAAGTTATCTGCATTTGTGACGTTGAATATGTACAATTTTGTTAATCGGATCACACCGGGTTTTTGCCAGTATTGAAAACTTAGTGATCCATCTCTTAATTTTAAATTCTAAAAAAAAAGAAAAATATTTTCATAGCTTGTTAACATGTTTCCAGTTTGAATCAAGTCAAATACAGTTCAAATAAAAATTTCCTATTGCAATATTCATACAGTACATTTCTTTAATGTCCCCCCTCTTTTATTTTTTCAACGGGTCAACTCAAAAAATTAAAATTTTTGATAATAATAATAATAATAATGTATCAGCACAAACTTCGACATATCTGGTCATCGGAACTGTCGGGAAAGAACAAAGTTGCTGCAACAAATATGCTTGCCGTTCCAATCTTACTCTACTCGTTTGGAGTAGTGAAGTGGACTCGGGAGGACCTGTATCAACTCGACGTAAAGACCCGAAAAATAATGCATCTCTATAGGAGTTTGCATCCCAAATCGTCTGTTTCATGGTTGTACTTCCCCCGACAACAGGGAGGCCGTGGCCTTTTGAGTTTGAAGTGTCTACATGACAAAATGGTACTGGATACAGCCTGTAAAGTCGTGAGGAGTACGGATCCCCTTCTCTGCATGGTCTGTGACCATGAGAGAGCAATAATAATTGGAGCATTTCTCCTTTGGGCAGCTGCCTGAGTAGCTGCCCGAGCAGCTGATGAACTCGGTATAGTTTTCGACACTGAACGAGGTGACCACAACTCTGTCACCGAGTTGGAACCCGTTCAGCAAAAAGCTCAGATAAAAACCGCAGAGATCACCTTACTTCTGCAGAGACACAAGGATAAGCCATTGCATGGGGTCTTCTTCAATAACATTGGAGACCTTGGCTTATCAAAGCGCCTGACGTTCGCTTTTCTCAGGTCGAGTGGGCTGAAGTCGGAAACTGAGGGGTTCATTATGGCTTGCCAGGATGGTGTCTTCAACACCTTAGTCTACCGCAGTCGCGTGATGGGTATAGAGATTCCTGACACAAGGTGCAGGGCCTGCCGCGAGGCGCCCGAGACTCTAATGCACTTGCTATCAGCATGTCCAGCATATGCGGTCTCGGCCTATATCCATCGACATAACATAAGAGTGCTGTATTACCATCTACGACACTCTTACGGTATTGACGAGACACCGGTGTTGCCCTACGCTCCGGGGGATATTGAATCCGCTGTGGGAAACGAGAAGTGCCGAATTTATTGGAACTATTCGTTCCCCACCCTCAGGCTCATACAAGCTAATGAGCCTGATGTAGTCCTTCTCGATCACCAGAGCAAAACAATATTTGTCGTGGAGTTTTCAGCTCCTGGCGAGTCGAATATCGTCAGAAAAGAGGAGGAAAAATGGATAAAATATCGAGATTTTCTCTTCGAACTCCGCAGACTCTATCCAGATCACTCTGTCAAGATGGTTGTTCTGATTATTGGAGTCCTTGGTGGAATGATGTCCTCTCTACTCTCGAATCTCAAAATAATACCGGCAGAAATCTTAGCCGCACAGATGCAAAAGGCTGTCATTGTTGGCTCACTGCATTAGCTCAGGGCACATGATTCTGGGACCCAATGATCACTTGCCCCACGGTGTGGGGAGTGGTCATTGCTTGATAATGCTGGCGCGCCCTCCCGAATGTATCGGGGCTTCGGGGGATAGGGCCTGACCAGCGCATACTACGGTGGAAAAAAAAATAATAAAGCATTTTTTGCCCAACAGTAACAACCATTTACAGAGCAATTTAAGATGACAATATATATTAAGTATACTCCTAGCACTGATACATAGAGATTTCAGCGTTATCATACGATATACGCTCTAGACTTATTTTTTAATTCGATTAAAGAACAGGAAAAAAGATACTTATGATGCAATGTTTGGAACCTTTGGTGTAGTAATGAATATTACTGGAGTTTTTTCCCAACACCAAATCGTTATTTTCAATACCTTGACACGTATTTAGATCACCAAGTGATCGTGTCGTGTGTCGAGGTGTTAAAAATAACGATTCTGTGTTGGGAAAAAACCCCAGTAATATTCAGGAAAAAATATCATAATATTCACAAATTTTGTTATAGTTCGTGCACATTACATAGATTGGTGCCTTAATCATAAGGTTAGTTTGCGCCCGTTTACACATAAAAGTGTAGCTTTTTCGAGATGTTTGCTGGGGTACAAATATGTTGATGTAAGATAATAATTCACAGGAATCAATTTTATTGTTCAGATTGCAAGGAAGTCTGCGCCCTGCGTTTTTCTAAGGATATAAAGTCAAATCTTTGTAATAAAGAAACATAGTTTTGGCCTCTAGGTGGGTATACTCCATCAATTTTAAAGCTCAAAAATTTCAGAAATTTTTTTTGTGCCTTTTCCACGATAGAAATATATTGTCCATATATGGGGTTCCATATTAGAGATCCATATTCTAGTTTTGATCGGACAAAATAGAAATACATTTTTGTTAGAGCAGACAAATTCGTGAAATTTCTACAATTTCTTACAATAAAGCCGTATGCACGATATGCTGCATTTACTGTACGACTAACGTGTATGTTAAAGGTGAGCTGCGCATCAAAATAAATTCCCAGATCTTTTATCTCGTCAGTACCCTGCAGTTCTACATTATCTATTGAGTATGCATAGTGAAGACTATTACTTTTCCTAGTAAATGTCATTGCTTTACATTTGGATATATTCACTGGGAGTTTATTTTTGATACACCACCTATGAAAAATATTCAACTGGATCTGCAAATAACTGCAATCATTTAAAGAAGTGACGGACGTATATAATTTTAAATCATCGGCGAACATAAGCCTCTTGCATTCGAGAGATGTACACAGGTCATTTATGTACAGCAAGAAAAACAGTGGGCCTAAATTAGATCCCTGTGGTACACCGCTGGTTGCCGTATACATTTCCGATTTGTAACCATTGTATTGTAATGGAATTATTGCATGAATACTTTATTTTGAAGTGAAATTGTCGGATGAAACTTTCAAGATGGCAACTGGGCGCCATCTGGAAAAAAAATTAAATGGAAAGGGGGGCCTTGTGACACATCATTTTGAACACAACCCTAGAATATGAAGTCAATATCATCACCTACTACAAAATTTAATAATTTCTCGAAAACAAACACATTAATATCAATATTTCTAGAAATATTCCTAGCCTTATCGGGTTGTTGGCAATTCCAACAACCCAATAAGGCTTGTTAAGTTATTTTTTGTTTTTAAAAACGACAAAAAATATCAGCATGACAATGAACATCACTGTTCCCTTAGAATATTCTCTTTTAGTTTTCGGTTCTACTAGTAGAAAGGTATCTCAACAATCTCTAAAACAATCTCTAAAATGGTCAATTATCGTCCATTGAAAAAGAAAACACATACCCAATATCCAGAAAAAATGAACGTTTGGGTAGGAATATTGGAAAACCATATTGTAGGCCCTCTATTTATTGATCAAAATTCAACAGGGGAACTGTATTTGAATATGCTGGAAACTACTGTTTACCCTCTCATCACTGAAATCGTCGAAGCGAATCCTAATGAATTCGATATGGATATTGTATTCCAATAAGATGGAGCACCACCACATTACTCCAGACAAGTAAGAAACTATTTGGATACTACTTTTCCCGGTCGTTGGATTGGCCGTCGAGGTCCTACAGGATGGCCAGCCCGTTCGCCAGATTTGACACTTTTGGTCTTTTTCAATGGGGCTATTTGAAGCAAAAGGTGTACGAAACTGAAACTGCTTCAATATTGGATATACGACAGAGAATAATAAATATTTATAGACATATTGACGTTACTGTGTTCGAAAATGTTCGGCGTGAAATATCGTATAGGCTGTTCATATGTCAAGAAGTTCAAGGAACCATTTCGAGCATCTTCTGAACTGACCTCAAACTTATTACCTCATATTATGTAGTTGAATGTCAATGTATTCAGAGTGCGACAGCTGGTTAACGAAAAAACAGATACTGCTGCGAAAGCTTCACCATTGCGGATTTAGAAATAAGGCACATTCATGGTTTACGACATATTTATCTGGCCGCACACAAGTAGTGAAAACAAAAACAATGTCAAGTTTACGTAATATACAATGTGGTGTTCCGCAAGGATCAGTCTTAGGTCCAATTTTGTTTTTACTATATGTCAATGGCTCGACGATGCCTGACATTTCAGGAAGTTTCACACTATTCGCCGATGATACCACCATACTATGGCATGAAGATAAGGAAGCCGATCTTCAACAGGTCATCAATTCAGATATAATAAAGGTTGAAGAGTGGTGCGACTCAAACCTTTTATCCTTCAATATATTAAAAACCAAGATAATGTCCTTCAAATACGCAGTATCTGATATTTCTATCAACCACCAGATCATTGAAAACAGTGTGTTTTCTAAATTTTTAGGACTATACATTGACAACGGTCTCAAATTTAATGAACATGTCAAAAACCTGAATGAAAAATTGTCCTCTGGTTGTTATGCTGTAAAAATTGCTGCAAACGAACTAGGTTACACAATCGCAAAGTCAGTATAGTCAGAGTCACATTTGCGATATGGTATCCCATTCTGGGGAGTGTGCAGTGAAAATGTTCTTCAAAGTGTTTTTGTTTTACAAAAAAGAGCCCTGAGATACCTCAGTAAATTAAAATTTCGCGATTCATGTAGAGTTCACTTCAAGAAACATAACCTTCTCACGGTAGTGTGTATATTTATACTTGAAACAGTGTGTCTCATTTATAAACATAAACAAAATTTCATTACAGATAGATATGCTACCCGCCAAAGTAATCATATCAAACTACCTTTACCATATTCCACTCTAGTTAAGGACTCCATTATATATAACGGCTGCAAGATGTACAACCACCTTCCAAATTATATCAAAAATATACAGTCCAACACTGGCTTCAGAAAAGCTGTAAAAAGAGTTCTTTCCGATAGAACCTATTATAGTTTGGAAGAATATTATACGGATATAATAGACTATACCTACTATTTTTTGTTATATTTTAAATTTTAAATGAGTGACTGATTGCTTTTTAACAATTCAATTTTGTAAAGTAGTGACTACGTATACTATGTATACTAAGTAAATAATTATCTAAATGTTATTCATATAATTTAATTTAATTTATTTTATTTATACAGGCTTGGTCAACAAGATGTTATTCTTAAGAAAATAAAGCATATTTTGATTGATTGATTGATTATTAAAAGTTCCGCCATTTTGTAGTAAAAGATGATATTGACTTCATATTCTAGGGTTGTAAAGTATTCGCCAGGAGCTTCAAAAAGATTACCCCCTTTCCATTCAATTTTTTTCCCAGATGGCACCCAGTCGCCATCTTGAAAGTTTTATCTGTCAGTTTCAAAATAAAGTATTCATGCATTAATTTCATTATCCCAAATTTCAATTTTTTGATTCGACCCTTTCAAAAAATAAAAGGGGGGGACATTAAAGAAAATCACTGTATATGGCTTCGAATATTAAATAATGGCATCTATTGAATTCATGCGAGAATTGATATCAAGAAATTATTGTGTTGTGTTCAAATATTTCAATTAAGTGAACAGGTTGCTCCTATTGAGTTGAAGTAAAATAAATCTTACCCTTAATATTATATAGTCCAACCATGGTATGGATGAAAATATTATACCTATAGCTAAAGTGAAAACTCCTATCAAGATAACAGCTAGCCGACCTGAAAAAGAAAAGAAAAATTAAAATGGAATGAACAACAAAGGAGTTTCAATGAAATGTTTCACAAATTCTCTGACTTCATGGAAGTTGGTCGCAATCAAAATTTCAAAAAGATACTTGCCATAAATTGTAAATTCATGTAAACGCCAGAAAGCTTTGAAATATGCGATATCGATTAGAATTTCTAACGGCTTCATTTTTATGCCTTCTTATGTATGAATATAATCCAAAATATATACTCTTGAATAAGTGTAAAATAACATAATGCTCATAATTTGAATGGGATTCCGGAGGAAGGATCCCCTATTACATTACATTAGATATTTAACGAAACTAATAAACTTATCAGTATCTGTAAATAAATACTGATGTAAATTAAGTCTAAATGACATAAGCGTCTAAAAGAGGAAAATAAGGTTAATTTTGACCATATTCTCCAATATTCTCAATGGAATAAATATTGTTAAAAAAAAATAAAAAACACGCTTTTAAAGAACATCGAACTAAAAAGTTGAAAATATTTTTTTAAATTGAGTTTGAAACAATAACGAACGATAAATACTAGTATTATTGTGAAAAAAAAGCGTGGGCGCTTTGCGCCATATTTTTTGTAAATCAAGCGCCCGTCACTTTTTTCACAATTTTTAGTTCGTTATTGTTTTAAGCTTATTAAAAAAATATTTTTAACTTTTTAGTTTGATGTTCTTTAAAAGCGTGTTTTTTAGTTTTTAAAGCTATATTTATTTTCATTTGTCAATTTAGTATGCTATAAAAGCGTGTTTTTTAATATTTTTGAACTATATATATTTTATCTAAACTTTGGGATTAATCAGCCGTATATTTTTTAGGAAAATGACCATTGATATTTTCCGATTCCGGAGAAGGAACCTGAAAATTATCTACCAAGCCCAAAGAAGGCAGCAGGCGCGCGTGTTAATAAAAAAACTTTTTTCGAATGAAGAAATACGAATTATATCAAGGAGGTTACATACAGCGCCATCTGCCCGCGAATAGATCAAACAATAATGTCCATATATCAAAGAGGTTACATACAGCACCATCTGCCCGCGAATAGATCAAGCAATAATGTCGATAATTCTATCAAATACAGATCCCGAGCTTGAGAGTTACAAACAAACAAACATGTATACATACAGATGAAGCTAATATAAAGCGTGTAAAAATAACGAATTGCCATCGAGGTATATGGAGCCTGAGTTAACCTTCTAATGTCTAATGTTTTAAATCATCTTCTTCGTGATATAATAGTTTGGCTGAAAAGCTCCTACACTAACATAGACAACTCATTTGTTTGGATAAAACTTGTTTTTTTTTAATTGAAAACGGTCATACAATTTTTGCAAACCTTTTTTATATTACGATTTGTCTTTAACCTCAAAATAGGCCTCAGTTTCGACGATCCCCTCTTCATCGGTATTCTCTTCAGATCTGAGAACAGAAAAAGTCGCTGGGGCCCAAATCTGGAGGATGCGGTGGAAGCCCAATTCATGCAATATTGTCATCGTTTTCATTGATTTGTAACTGTGAGATAAACCTCGACATTTGATCGAATTTGGCGGTTTTTTTTCGGTTTTGGCTCTCCTGGGCTCTTCCATTGAGAGGATTGGACTTTGGTTTCGATGTCATCATAACCATATACCCATGATTCATCACCAGCTATGACCCTTTTGAGCAAATCTGGATCGCCTTTAATACCATTCAGCATCTCCTGAGCGATGCTCATGCTCTTTTGGTCAAAATTCAGCAATTTTGAAATGAACTTCATGAGCTTCTGCTCAATATTTCAGAAAAAATTGCATGGCATGAGTGATTCGACGATTTTCATAACAATTTTCTTCACGTTCTCAACACTTTCATCGGTTGTCAATGTGCTAGGCCGCCCTGGACCAGTGTCGTCATTCACATTTTCTCAACCTTCTGTAACAATCTTGTGTCACTTGTAAACATTTTTCTGACTCAAGAGTACAAGCATGGTATGCCACTGTCAACGTTTCAAGTGTTTTTGAGCACTTGGTTTCATTTCTCACACAAAATTTGGTGTAAATTCTTTGATCCATTGTATATTTGGAGATTGGTATGGTAATAGGAAATGATTTGTTGAAATGGGTGCTACAAATGTCACTTCCACACCTTTATTTCCTATTCACAATTCATAAATCAGTGAGAAAATAGAGAAATTTCATTGGATATCAGGTACGTATTCAATACCTATACATCAATTGGTATTGCAAAAGTTCTGGTTTCATAACAAAATGTAAGTAAATTTGGGAATCAAAAACACCAACTGAAGCAAAGTTATATTGAGTAGAAGTCTTCCAATAAAAATTGAAATTTGAAAAGCTTATAGGTAACTCTACATTCAGTTTTTGCCATCTGAATAAAACTCTTTTGGAACACGCCCTATTGAAAATGTGCACGATACGCTCCTGAGTAGAGACTTGCTCAAAGCAATTACGATCATTAGTGCATTATTTGTTTAGGATAAATAGGAATACTTTGGTACTCGATAAATATTGCCATATTTCAGTCAAAACTCCAACTCAGATATTAAAGGTTTAAAACAAAATGTCAAACGACAAGAAGGTCAAAAACATTCAAGTATTTTGACAAAATTTATCAACTGAAAACTAAATTATATGTAACATTGGGGATATTTGCAATAATCATATTGTATGTGGAATAAAAATGTCTCCAATTGCAAAAGTGATTCATTGACAGATAACATTTTCAAATTCGATTCTTGCGAATATTATTGCAAGGCAATTCGTTGTATTAGAGCCCAGAAACAGTGGAACGACCTTTTCTTACTTAGGATTGTCCAGAATGCACACGTGGTCCAGTCTAGTACCATTGATGATACCTTTCTTGGGTCGAAACAGTGCTGTTTGTGTTGGATCATGAGCGTTTTATTTCTGGGTTCTTGAATCAAATGTAACTGAGCTTTTTGATTGTGTCACTCCATTTTGAGATTATAGAATAATGTAACTATTTTAATGAGCCCAGAAACATGATGATGATTTACAGAAACGGAGGCTTTTTTTGCAGAAGTTCGGTTCACCAGTTGAAAAAAAATGATTCATTAAAAAAATTAAATAAAACGGTTCAAGATCAGATTTCAATTAATTAAACCTGAAAATAGATGACTCAACTGAAACATCGAAACTCACAGGTATAACATTACTAAATTATACTGTTATAAATTGGTTTGGATATCATTTTTGTTCTTTCGTAATTTATGATTAAGGAAATGAACATTTACTCCTTGAAGAGTAATTGGGTAATTTCAACTTCTCCACGAAATATAATGTAGTCAGTTACTTCCCATTATGTTTTAATTCTTATGACTAATACTCATCATAATTGCAGATTTATAGCTAGTATATCATTAAACATAAGATTATAATCTTTGACATGGATTTCCTATTGTTATTGAAATGATGTTAACATTTTAATAACAGGTTCACCACTTTTGCGGTCTGAGGAAGACACAATTTCGATGTTAGAAAGTTTATTTTATTGAACACATGTAGGTGTGATTGTTTTGACAGAATTGAAAAAGAAAAGAGGACATGACTGATGAACAATGGGTACAAACTCTGAAGTTGACGTTGCCGAAAGTTCCTGTAAATTTGAGTTTAGCTGATTATTTCATTCCTCATTGTCATGTTCGTTGTGGAGTTATGATGCTATTAGTGCGTTTCAGTTGCGTTATTTGACAATGATGAACAATCAAGTTGTGTAAGTTTGCTGTTTCTGCTAAAGAGTGACAAAGGGAAGATCGTCTTACTCAAGTGTTCATTGAAATACGTTGGTACTGAAACTCAAAATGGCTTTATCATCTCTTTTCAGTCTATTTTCAGTAGTATTAAGTTGGGGACATTAAAATACAAAACCACTGGTATTAAATTTACACACATCTAGGTATTTTGAGGCTGCACTTGAATAATTTGTAAAATTTGCGGGTTTTCATCAGTCAACCTTCAAGAAAAGCTGAAGCGACGAAAATTTCAACCATGTAGTCGAGCTGTGTCAAAGACAGTCGAAACCCAGGTGTTTGGATCGGATATTTCCTGCACTGATTAGGAATAATACCTCGAAAACGGCCTGCAGGTTTGAATCAAGCTTGATCCTGCTGCTGGATGAACGAGAAGTAGCTGCATATTTTCCAATGTGAGGTAACCTGCATAAATATCCGGATATAATTCAATATCCATCGTGGTGTTAACCGGGGGAGTAGTTGTTTTTGACTGGCATTCACGAATACCCACTGTGTAGGAAGGTTGGAAGGAATGGATTTTCTGAGATTTCATTCCAATCAAGGCCTCAATAAGATATGTAGCGAGCCGTATATATCAAGTCTATACGAAGCATAAAAATAAATGGTGAAAGTGGAAAGTCTGGCTAAGAATAAATAGAAAATAATCTCTTTTCCCAATCACCAGAAATGCAATTCTCTTGAGAAGAGGAAAAGTACGGAGATAAATAACGGAAACCTGCTTTTTTGAAACAAATACTCATTCATTCGTCTACATAATACTGTCGCCTTCTAATTAGATATTATGCAATTGTACCAGCGCTTATTTCGATCTTCGAAACACTTCTCAGGATAGCCTTCAGCACTTTCAGCTATACTTGTAAAACGACGGCCATATAACAATCTCTTCATTTTTATAAATAGGAATAAGTCACACGGGGACATGTCTGGCAAATATTGAGGCTGGGCATTGCTACAATATTGTTTTTGACCACATTTCACATACTTTGTTATGCTCCATCTAATTTTTTAAGTAAAATTTGATACTTTCGTCAAAAACTACAGCTCACGATTTGATCTTCACAAACTTTATTTTGAAAAATATATCACATGTTTCGCTAGACAGTAGCTTTTTCAAGTGATTAACATCACTTTCAAAATAAAGTTTCACAAACTTTATTTTGAAAAGTGAAAAGAAAAAAAAATAATCGTCAGATTTTCTAAGG